TTTGTCTGAGAAATGTCTGTTCATTTCAGATGTCCATTTTTTAATCAGGTCTTTATATTGGGGGGACTGATTGTTTTGAGTTCTTTATACATTCTAGATAATAGTCCTTTGTCTGAGGAGCAGCTGGTAAAATTTTTTTCCCATCTTGTAGGTTGTCTTTTAGTTCTGCTGATGGTTTCTTTTGCAGTACAGAAGCTTTTTAATAAGATGAGATCCCAGTTGCTGATTCTTTCTGCTAGTTCCTGTGCTACTGAGGATTTGTTCATAAAGCCTTTTCCTAAGCCAATGTCTTCCAGAGTTCTGCCTAACTTACCTTCCAGCAAGTTTAGTGTTTATGTTTTAATATTTAGATCTTTAATCCACTTAGATTTTAATTTAGTGCATGGTGAAAGATAAGGGTCCAGTTTTAATCTGTGGCAGGCTGAAATCCAGTTTTTCCAACACCATTTATTAAAGAGACTATCTTTCCTCCACTGAGGATGGTCAGCTCCTTTGTCAAAGATGACATAGCTGAGTACATCTGGAATTGTTTTTGTGTCTTCCAATCTGTTCCACTGACCCTCAGGCCTGTTCTTTGCCAGTACCATGCTGTTTTTATCACAGTGGCTTTGTAGTATAGTTTCAAATTGGGAATTGTTATCCCCACGGCCATGTCTCTGTTGCCTAGGATAACTTTTGCTATTCTATGTCTCTTATGGTTCCAGATGAATTTTTGGATTCTTTTTTCTAGTTCTGTGAAATATAGTTCACAGTATTTCAATGGGCATTGCATTGAATCTGTATAGCAGATTTGGTAGTATGGCCATTTTTACTATGTTGATTCTTCCTACCCAGGAGCAGAGGATATCTTTCCATTTTTTTATATCCTCTTCAATTTCTTTTTTCAGAGTGCTATAGTTTTCAGTGTAGAGATCTTTTGCTTCTTTGGTTAGATTGATTCCTAGATACTTCATTTTTTTGGATGCTATTGTGAAATGAATTGTTTCCCTAATTTCTCGTTCAGTGAGTCTGTTACTTGTGTACAAGAAGGCTATTGATTTTTGGGTGTTGACCTTGTATCCAGCTACTCTGCTGAATCTGTCAATTAAGTCTAGAAGTGTTTTGCTGGAGTTTTTTGGTTCTTTAGTGTAGAGTATCATATCGTCAACAAATAATGACAGTTTAACTTCTTCCTTCCCTATCTTTATTGCTTTAATTTCTTTCTCTGGAAACCTTCCCTCCTTTAACCTCAGGCATTGGGGATTCTATCTCAGCAAAGGAAGAAGTAACTAATGTGGGGCTGCTGAAGACTTGTAGCTTTGGGAATGGCAAGGAGTACTGTGAACAGGTCCAGCAGTTACAAACGTAGGAAGGAGAGAATTCAACAGCTGGATATGATGTTGCTTCTCTTAACTGAATGGTCCTGTGGGCCATCACCTCAGTGAATGGAAGATGCAAGAACTTAGGACTGAGACAAATCCCAGAGAGTCAGACTGCGGAACAAATACCTGCACCCCTTCCACATGAAGACACGAACACGCTTAACATCTCAGACATTAAGCAAATGCAAACCACAACCACAGTGAGGTTCTCCTTCACTCCTACTACTGTACCTACCATCCACGTAACTTACAGTAACAAGTATAGGTAAGGATGCTGAGAAACCGGAAACCTTACACATGGTGCAGGCTCTGGGTGAAATGCTGTGGCATGTCCTCAAAAAGTAGAATACAGACTTACTATACTACTCAACCCTTCCATTCCTAAATAGATACACAGCAGAACAGAAAATAAGTATTCAATCAAAAAGGAATATGTTCTTTATCTCTGTCAAGATCATGGGAAAGGAAAACATTCCCACAACAAGTTTCAGAAAAGGAAACAGGATCCAAATGGAAAAAAGAATATTCCTAGGTGAGACAAGTGGAGAAATTGAAGTTGAACAATGGATTGGACATTCATGACAAAACCCTTTAATTTCCTTACATCTGGGCTCTCTGGTCGTTGCCTAGGAGTGTCTGAATTTGGGTAAAATACGCTGCCATTTTTCATACAGACTTGCAAAGTAGGAAAAGTAATAAACACTGGAGGAGGTGAATGGATAAATCAAAGTGTACTAATATGATTGCAGGTGCCCTATATGTTTGAAATTATTGGGAAATGAAACAATTTTCTACTATCAATATTATTCCAGAAAAGAAACACCAAGCGTCACTATAGCAGCTAAGTATATGAGTGATCTTTCTCATGGTGAAGAAACAATTCCTGACATCCAAAACTCAAAGAAGGGGAGGTTCAATTTGTCTCATATTGGTGGAGGATTCTGTACATGGCTGGCTGGCCCTAAGGAAGCAACATCACGGAGGAAGTGTGTGACAGAGTAAAGTTGCTTACTTCATGGCAGCAAAGAGGCAGAGCATGGGAACAGTACCAAAGGGTGAGGGGTGAGGGGTGAGCTAGAGACATAAAAGTGATGCCTTCATGACCCATAGAGATGCAAAAAGAAATGTACTCCACCAATCCCCTAGGCAGATCTCAAAGCCAATCCAGGTATCACTTGACCCTTAACTGTCACACTAACACTAACAAAATGCAGTCCAGCCAGAGTTGTAAAACCATTGTCCTACTGTGTGAAAGTTATATTAGAATGAGGAGGACCATGAATAATAATATTAAACACCAATGTGTGCATATTTTGTTAGATTTAAGTGCCATTCTCTTAGTTACTATTCTCATTGTTGAGACAAAATACCCAGCACCCAAAGTTTAAAAAGGAAAGGCTTATGTCAGCTCACAGTTTGTAGAGGTTTCAGTCCATAGTTGGCTGGTTATAAGGGAGGGCACCTTATTAGAAGGCCATCACAGAGGAGAACAGTTCAAGACATGGCAAGAAGGCAGCAAGCAGCAAGCCTCCCTTTCCTTCTTATCCCTTCCAGACAACCCCACGTTTTGGGTGGCGACACCCACACCCAGGGTGGGTGGGGCTTCTGTCTTCAGTAAATCCATTTGGTCACACCCAGATCCCTGCTAATTCTAGTCAGTGGACTAATTCAGTACCACATACCTTAACCCCAGTATCACACACCCTAGATCTAGCCAGGTATGAAAAGCCCCACCTATGAGTGCGTGAAGTTTTGGGGAGAAATTGAGACACAGGCTGTAACATCCACTATCTTGAAATTATAATATTCAGAGTCCACTGCATGCATATTACATTAGAAATGTTACTCTCTGAGTATTATCATAACACTATGAAGTGGTCACAGTGTGGATAGTATAATTAGAGAGCACTCTATGGATTGTATATCAGTATCTGAGGGTAATGTCTGAGTATTATTGTACATGAGTACAGGAGGGCATGGCATGGATATTGTTAGTATTTAAGACCACAGGAAATATAACAGTATGACTGGTTGCTGTGTGGATATAAAATTAGTATTACAGGCTACACTATGGACATTCAATTACCACTAAAGGCCACAGTGTGGATATTTTACTAAGATCCAACATGGTGGAAAACATCCATAATCCAAACACTTGAGAAACTTAGGGAAGAGGACTTGAGTTCTAGGGCACCTAGACTACATCGTGAGATGCTGTCTCAAGAAAAAAAAAGGCTGCTATATAGATTTTATTTTCATCTTAGAAGTCCACAGTGTGGATATTACGGGCCACAGAATAAATAGTATATACTTAATAAAAGGCCATGCTGAGGATACTATCATAGGAGCCCTTCTCATTGTTGGTGGGAGTGCAGACTGGTGCAACCACTATGGAAATCAATATGGAGATACCTCAAAGAGCTGGGACTGGAGGTTCCATTTGACCCAGCCATCCCTCTGCTGGGTATCTTTCCAAAAGAATTAAAAGAATCAAATCACAGAGATATATTTGCACCTATGTTTATAGCGACACAGTTTGTAATAGATAAAACTTGGAAAGAGCCTATTTGCCCATCACTTGGAAACTGGATAAAGAAGGTGTGGTTTTTCTATAAAATGGAATATTGCTCAGCCATAAAGAATGAGAAATTAGATTCATTCATAGGAAAATGGATACATATTGAGGATATACTCCTAAGTGAAATAAGTCACACATGTGTAAATACCGAAGTTTCTCTGGTGTGAATAAACTATAACAGTACATAAGATCTTAATGATATAATAGACAATGCGTGAAATAGGAAGAAAAGGGACTAAAGGTATAGGGGAAAATTGGAAGGGTAGGGGAAAGCTAATAAGGGAAAAGAAAAAAATATGAGGAAATGAAGTGGTTGTAAATGGGGAGGGGAGAAGGGGGTGAAGGGAGGGCAGGGACAAGGGGAAAAAATGAGAACCAAGACCTGTCATGTAAAGGTACAAGATCCCAATAATGAATGTACCTGTACTGTATACCTAAAATGTACCAGTAAACCCAATGAGGAAAAAAATGAAAATAAAATGAAAAGATCCTTTCCTTGGTCTTTACGTACAAGCACCTCTTCCTAGAACACAGGCTTCCTTTTAACTTTATCATGTGTCAGTCCGTTGACTGAGCTCTCCCCGCTCTGAAAATCACAAGTACTCAGTGACAGAGAACATTTTAGTATTGTTGCCACTGTGATGTAACATGAGTGCTTCTAGCTGTCTAGACAGGATCAAAGGGCTTGTCTAAGTTTGCTCCCACTCCTGGGATGGCATATTCCTTAGCAGGTCTGCTTCAGTTTAGTTATACACAAAATACCTTACTCCAAGAGCAAATATTATTGCTAAAACACCTCATTCTGTTCTTTACCCACATTAGGCCTTGGAAAAGGTCATTTATCATGACACACACGTGTGCGTGCACACATACACATGCACACATCCTATCTTTTCTGTGGCTTTCAGGCGCTGGTGACTCTGGGAGATTTTTCATGAACTGAGCTGTATGTCCAGAACCAGACAACATCTTATATCCCTTTTTATTGGGAGAAATTGACCTGCCCAGGCCTCTTCCTATGACAGTATGTTGTCTCTTTGTTTCACTCACACTGAATACCGAGATATTCCTCTGAAGTGAGCTGGAGGCCCTGGAAGTTCTGTGGTCGAGGGCACTTGCAGTTTCCGGCCGCTGCTTGCTCACGGTGGTACTACTTGTGCTTTACTGACCCGCTTCCGGGCCTGGTGTGTGGCGAACCCTTGCACACACCCTGTGGCTGCAGAGCGGCTGTCCTGGGGCTCGGCCGGAAGTCAGGACCTTGATGACGAGGGGAGCCCACTGGCAGAGTATGGGCTTCCCCTTCCATGGGCAAGGCCCTGCAGCAAAGAGAGAAACCTGAGCTAAGGCAGTGAATGCTGGCACCTTCCAGCCTGTGCCTGAGGACACTGTGCCCATCCCTTCCTTTCCTAGTTTTCCTTCAACTTGGATTAAGTGGGGAAGTGAGATGCATGTTCTACTCTATGAGAAAAGAGAGTGTGAGTCTTGTGTGCTGAGAACAGGGTTGTTTGTGCCCCCCAGAACAGAACCCTCCCAAGGGGCCCGACCCCCAGACACGCACCATCCTGTCACCATCCTGTCCTCTGCTCCATCTCATGTCCTTCTCTGCGGCTGCGCCCACGAGTTCAGGACACCCTGCCCTGGAACTTCATCATCTTTCTCTCTTGCAACCGTCCCGTAGCATTGTCAAGGAAAGGGCTTTTGTACAAACAGCACCCACAAGTCCTTCCCCCTTTTGAGCACCTATGAATTCTGTAGTTTCTGGTCCCCCGGTCACTTTTGCTGCTCACCAGGATTTGTTATTTGTTCAAGGCAGGTGGGAGAGAACAAGGCCAGGACAATGGGAAGAAACCCAGCGGGTCCATGCGTGGCTTCTAGGAGGGCTGCGACAGGGGCCTGCTGCACCACGGCACCCACCATCCCCTCCCCTGGCCTTCCTGTATAGGTCCTGTCCTGTCTCAGATGACATCAAGATTTCCACGGACCATCTGATGGACATCCATGGGTGCAGCCCCCAACCCTGATCCATTTTCAGGGTTGGGCGGGGCATCTGCCCTAGTCCTGGTCACCAACAGGTTCGTGTCTCTGTCTCCCCTTAGCCGTTGCTGCTGGAGAAGCAGAGTCCTCATCCAGCAGCACGAAGGTGCCAAAGAACTCAAAGAGAACCTGGACCACTGCAAAGGCATCATGTTTGACATCCTGGCGGCCCACCTCAGCGAGGAGAGCCTGGCAGACTCTGAGTACTTCATGAAGGTGAAGTCAGCCCTCATCATCTAGCAGTGGGAGCTGGAAAACAAAATCCACCTGGGGAAAGAGCAGCTGAAGTGCCTGCTGGACAGCCTGAAGCCCGAAACAGGCAAGTAAGTGGCCAGTCAGCCTGCAGAGGCAGCCATGGCCTTGGAGCTCCATCCCCGTGCGTGGGATCCCTTAATGAACCTTTCAGTTTCCCTTTGGAATGGAGCAGTTTCCCTTACACAGGACGCTACACACTCCACGAGATGCCAGGCACTGGATGGTGTGGTCCCCATGGACCCACTACGCCAGGGCTGTGGGACACACAGACTGTCACTGTCAGCAGTAGGGCGGCTGTTCCTCCATTTTCCGAAGCCAAACCAGACACATGGGAAGACACCGAGAACATCCTCAGGATGCATGAGAGGGGCCTCCCTGGTGTCCATCTTCCCTTGGGATCCATCTGGGCATGGGCTACTCGATTTTGTCCTTGCCGGACGCTCAGTGTGAGTGTCCATCGTCTCTACCCTATAATCACGTTCCCTGACCCAGCAAAGTCATGATGACAATGATAACTGATTAACATGTAGGAAAGGCAAATGGCTTCCTAATGGTGGAAAACCAGCTGGGCAGTGGACAGCCTATGTATCGGGTATACTCACTCTGTGATTAAAAGCTCCACTTAAAGAAATGCTGTGCATGCCTTCGAACTCATGCACATGACAGACGAATGACCGTGGTTCTCACCTGGCATCAGAGGTCAAACGAGGTTATTCAGCCAAGCAAGAGTACATTGTTACATGTGTTCAGGGCTAATATACTTGTTGGTTAGTTCTTTACTAAGACTGATGGAGTATTTTTCTAGTTTCATGTGCCCCAGAATATTAATCTTGTGCACATACGGTCATTCTTGATCATTGGTTGTTGTTGCTGTTTTGTTTTTTTTTTTCTGTTTTGCCACACATTTTTCCCCAAGCATTAAGGGTCACATTCCCTTTACTGTAAGAGCTTTCTTCTGCCTTTTCAGGGGCCCTGTGGACTCTCTTAACTCTTAAACTTGACGTTTTTCTGCTGCAGAGTTTAGAGATTCTGTGCCTTTTGCGGGGCTTGAAACGGCAGGACTCTAAAGAGAGACACTGACGCATTAACACCATCATGCTGCGGTTTCCATTGGCAATCAGAGACTGAGAGGAAGTATTTGCAGACGTGTATCTGACAAAGGATTTCTACCCAGAATGCATGAAGGCCTCTGAAGACCCACCAGTATGAAAATGAGCAGCCCAGCTAAAAAGAGGGCAACAGACTTCAACAGTTCACCAAAGAAGATATACACACACAAATAAGCACAGGTAACGATGTCCAGCTGCTGACGACGTTGTTATGACCTGCTGATTTTTACCTAATAATTGTAGGTCATGTGCGTTGTTGGAAAAAAGTTCATCTTACTAGAGCCATGGTTAATGGCTTTAGTCATCCCTGAGGTAACTGGATTGTATGTAATATTTGTTCCTCATTTCTCTCACTCCCATAAGCAGCATTCTAGCAGGTGTGATGAAGTTTTCCGTCAGCAATAACCACTGCCTCCCTAAAACATGTATACACACACACACACACACACACACACACACACACACACGCGCACATACACTTCCTGAGCCTGACACAGAGGTACTGCATGGATGTGAAGGCTTTTCCTACAGCCCAGTCCGATCCGGCACCTTCATTCCCTCAGGTGATGATGCCCACTCTTGGCAGCCACCCAGGGCTCACAGGACAAGTGCCTTTCAGAGGTCCTCCTGCCTGCTCAGGTGAGCTGTTCCTCACTTAAAATGTGTGACTCTGTGGCAGCAGCTCCCCCCTCCTTTCCCCCTGGTAGCCCCTTGCTGGGAACATGGGCTGCTGGCTGTCCACAGACCTCACTAGTGTGGGAGCCCACTGGCATTTGACATTGGAAAAGTAACTTCTACCATTGAGGCATTGACACAATCTATGACTCTATTTGGCTTTTCTGAGATGAGGGTCTCAGCTATGCAGATGAGATTGACCTGGAGCTCTCTGTGTAATCCAGGCTGAGCTCACTGTGTAATCCAGGCTGGGTTTATGGGATTACGGGTGTCGACCTGAAGCTCACTGTAATCCAGACTAGTTTTATGGGATTATGGGCGTGCACCACCACGCCCGGCAAACAATACCACTGGACTCGTCAGGTTGAGTGGGGCCTTCGCCTTTACATCAGCGGCCGTGATCCGGGTCTCACCTTTTCCATCAGGCTTTTGAAAGAACCACCTCAGTTCAAACCCATTGCCATTGGCCCCAACCCCCTTCTTTAAGAATGTTGCTTTTTTAAAGATAAACTGGGCCTGGTGGATGATAGCATTAGAAGGGTTGAGGAAAGCCTCGAACAAAGGCAGAAGCAACGGGAAAAGGACGAATCTTGGTATCAAAATTGGTTTTCCCCTTGCCCCGCTTGCCCCTGGAGATTGTTAAGTTAAAGATTGCATAGGGTTAATTGTTGATGTACGCCTTCCCACTTACCCCTCCCCACATTTGGTAAAATACTGATTGCTGTATGCTGATAAATGCTTTGTCCCTTTATGGTTAAATGCTTGAGTGACTCATGTGATTGGTAGAAGATTTGTTTGAACTGTCCAATAAGCTTGCTGAACCTTCCCCCTGGGATAACAGTATATAATCGTTTTGCTGAGCCAATAAAGAGCCTTTGATCAGAAATCAGACTTGGGCCATGTGCTCTAACTTCTTAAAGAATTTCCTTCACAGACATTCAAGATCGGATCGGCCTCTGATGACCCACGAATAAGAGGCGGCTCTCACCTCCTATTCCCCACTGGACGGGGTCCCCCCAGAGAGCCGCACACGAGTAACTTATTTTATTTATAATTTAGACACATTTTTTTGACCCATGAGTCTTTCCCATCAAATCCAGTAGTGTGATTGCTTTAATAATACATGTGTAAAATGCAAATAATCAAATCTGTGTGCCAGCCTTTACGTGTCTTTCTGGACTCTGTCATATACTGTAGGTATATAGTACCTTTTTTTTTTTTATCCTGGGGATCAAACTCAGGCCATTGCACTTGCAAGGCAGGTGGCAGAACCACTGAGAACCACTGAGCTAAATCCCCGGCTTGGACTCTGCTTATACTTAGCAATGTGCAGAGTTCTGGTGTCCTTTTAACCGAGCACACATCACCACGACCTTCCATCTGGCTTTCCATTTGCCTCTGTATTGTCTGATTCCCAGGGAATGACACACTCCAATGTTTTCCACGTACATAAGACAGTACACAGATGTATTATTGCTATTTATACAAATATGGTGCCACCAGTTGGCCCTGGGCATTCAGAGGGGGTGACTGATTCTTGTCTCTGTCACAGCAAAGCTGCGGTAGTCGGCAGAGGGCAGACTGGGCCTTCTCTCACTTGGGATGTGTATAGCCTGTATCCTGCAGCACATTGTTTTAAATGTATATATATTTCATGCTTGACACTTTCTACTTACTGATCAACAAAGCATCCTGCTTGATTGTGTGTGTGTGCGTGTGTGTGTGTGTGTGTGTGTGTGTGTGTGTGTGATATCAGGGATCAAACTCAGGTCCTTGTGCTTGCCAGGCAGGCAGCAACACCACTGAGCTAAATCCCTGGCCCATCGTGCTTGATTTTAATGAAATAAATACTGTATCCTCAAGTGAAAAGAATGATTCCCTACATTGCAGCTTTTTAAAGAAAATCAGGATATCAGGGCGGGGAGTGTCACTTAGTGGTAGAGCACGTGAATGCAAGGCCCTAGGTTCAATGCCTCCTACAAAAACATGGAGGGAAGAAAGACATTTCAGGGTATGTTCAGAATGTGTCAGACCACTAAACCATTTTGAGTAAGCTCTGATACTCATCAACTACTTGTAATTTGCAAGTGGGCTAAAAGCCAATCAGTTCGCTGTTTCAACAGTCAGAGACACAGGGTGTATCTGTTAGCTACTGTCTCAAAAAGGCCGTGTAACAAAAAGCTAAAACCTCACAGCAGTGTGCAGTCTGGAGTACCGACTTACCTCTGGAGTTTGCAGATTAGTGGCTGATCCAGGAAGGGCTCTGGGCCACGTGCCTCTCACCTTCCTCCTGGAGCACGAGTCCGTCCTGAGCCATGTCCCTGGTGAGGCACCAAAAACCTAGTCATAAAGCGGTTGTTGTGGCTTTGGTCACTTCATACCTGCTAACTTTCCATGGCCAAAGCATAGCATGGGGCCAAACCGAGTCACAGGGAGCGAGCGGATTGGGCTCCACCTGCTCATGGGAAGGAACTGTGGGGACACAGGCCCGAGAGTGGACACAGGGAGGAGTGAGATTAGGGCTGTTCTTGGGTTCCACTACCACTGCAGTGTCTACTAACGCACTCACTCAAGTACTCCGAAAGCACCAAGCCAACTTGGCCGGTGCAAAGCCACCCCTGTCACTTCCTAGCTGTGTGGCCCTGAGCAAGTGAGCTGGCCTCTCTGGGCCCCATGTCCTCTCCTGTCATAGCAGATGAGCTGCTATGTGGCGAGTGTGTGACTGAGCCAGGTCTGGGTCACCGAAATGGTGCACATGCGCTGGTGGGGCAGTACCTGTGCCTCCAGGGTGAGCTCCCAGACCACAGGGATGCTGCTGCCAGAGGAAGGGCTGGAGAGGGTGGAGGGAAATTTCTGCATCTCTGGTATTTGTTTTCTACTTTAAACGATTATTTAAGCCAGGCATGGTGGGGTATGTCTGTAATCCCAGCACTCAGGAGGCTGAGGCAGGAGGATTGTGTAAGGTCAGACTGAGGCATGATTGAGACCACCGAGGGAGGCAAAGTCTAAGCAACATGCGGTGACTTTATTGCCATTTGGGTGCAGATGGGCCAAGGGTGAGAAAGCCGTTGGCACTGAGAGGAGTATGCTCGTGGTTATATGGGGCATTTTAGGTAGAGGAGGGAGCATTTCTCAAGAGGGTGGAACATTTTAGAGTTCCACGGGTGATTGACCTGGGGCTGGCAGATAAACAGGGCAGAGAGAGCGGCAGGGCGGCTTGTTATCTCTGTGCTCCTGCGGATTCCGGCAGTAGGTCTGCTTGGGTGGGGGTCCAACTGGGGGGCCCTGTCAGATTGCTACAAGTTCAAGGCCAGCTTGAGCTACAGAGTGGTTTCAAGGCCAGCCTGAACTACATGGTGAGATGCTGTCTGAAAAAAACTCATTGAATTAACACTGTAGTACAGTTAGAAACACTGTTGCTGAGGGATTCCCTCCCTTCCAACCATTTAATTCTCCCCGGCATGGCCATTTCTCCTTCCGTCCTCTAAGAGAGGTACAAAACAAAGTAACAAAACCCCAGGAGATCTCTGATGCTCTAGGCCAGAGCACCCTGGCCTTCAGTCTCTTTCACTCTACTCCAGCCTCATTAAAGTTTTCTAAATATGTGCTACCTGTCATGGATGAATTAGGGTCAGAGTGAATTCTGGGACAAGCTTGCATGTTGGGAGCTGCAGAGAAGGTACCGCATCCAGTCAGGCGTTCGCGTCAATAATACCTACAGCTTAAGGGGAGGCCCCATCCCAGAGGCGCGGATTTTTCACATTCCAAAAGCCCGATTTCTCGGGGGCCGTTGGTGCTCTTGTGCGCAGGGATCTGTGCGTGCTGCTCTAGCTTTTCCGTCACCCTGGCATCGCTTCTGTCTGTACCATGTCTTTTGTTGGCATCAACTTGCCTGGAGCACAGCTTCCTGCGATCTTCAATAAATGTAGGGGTGAGGGGAAAAAATGAGAACCAAGACCTGTCATGTAGAGGTACAAGATCCCAACGATGAATGTAACTGTACTGTATCCCTAAAATGTACCAATAAACTCAATTAAAGCTGAAAAAAAAATAAATGGAGCTGCTTGCTACTGGGTGTACAGTTGAGGGTTCTTTGCTCGCTGTGCATGAGAACCTGGCCTGTACGGCCTGTTACGTGGTGACATTTTAGAAGGCCTGAAGTCTGAGACGCATCTCCCTGAGCTGCACTCGAGGTGCGCACAGAGAACCCTGGGCCACCTCTTCTCAGGGCTCTGAGACAAAACTCATTTCCTCCCAACTTTTCAGGGCTGCTGCTTCCTGGTCTCCCGCTTCTTTCTCCAACCTCCGAGCCCCCAGCTTAGCCGTCCCTGTAATCCCTGTCCCAGCCTCCCAACCCCTTCACCACCGTAGATCCTCCTGACTCCTCCTGCAGGCCCACCCATCCCGAGGGATCAGGGCCCCGTCTCAGCATCCTGCGTCCATCACACCCCCAGAGGCTCTACAGCCGGGGGAGCCTCGTACCCACAGCACCCTCCTTCCCCTCCTCGCTTCCTCCGTTCATCCCTTCCCTCACTTCTCTCTTTCTCCTCCCAGTTCTCCAACTTTTGCTCTTTTGGGAAGATGGGACTGCACTCTTCACACGTCTTAGAAATCTCCTCTTTGCCTAGCAAAAGCGTGAACTTTTTTTTATTACGCTTCAGGATGATGTGCGGGCGCTGTGTAACATGGCAGTGTAAGAATACAGAATGCTGCCCTCGGTATATTACCGAACGGAATTTTAAGATGCTGCTGTTGTCGGAGGTGTGATCTCACGTCGTGCGCTTGGTAGTGAAATCTCCATGCATCTCTCCACTCACCTCTTAGAAGGGATTCCTCCCTGTGGAATGGCTGGCAAATAGGACTGTCCTGGGATGTTGCTGCCCGTATGACACGTAGGGCTAAGGAGAACCTAGCCCGGGCCTTTGGGCTTTTTGGCAGCTCTGTTTTGGCGGAAGGTCCTTCTCAAGCTCCTGTCCCCATCCTGAGCAGGCTACTTTCTGACGACTGAGGGACCCACCCCACGGGTTGCCTTGTTCCCCATGTAGCCCTGCTTCCAGTAAGAGTGGTTCAAGGCCCAACCGGAAGGGGTCATTTGCCCCGAGTTAAACGGCATCTGGCTTAGTGTGCTGGTGTCCTGTGGCCTTTCACAGGGAAACCACATCCGGATGGCTACTACTTGTGCTCATCCTCCCATTGATCCAGGGCCATTGTTTTGTTTTGCCTCCTAGAACTCCACCTACGGTGGGTTAGACCCTGTTCTTGAAGGTCAAAAAATAAAGTGAGAGGAAACTGGCCAGAGGCACTCGGATGGATCTCAATAGGGGAACATGCTGTACCCAGAGGCTGCCAGGGAGGCAGGATGCACCGTGAGGGCCAGGGCCAACACGGAGGACTGGTGGCATCTCCTCGCTGAGCTGGCAGCTCAGCCCTGGGTGGGTGGGGGAAGGGTGGAATGAGGTGACCGTTGAAACTGCCACACATTGGCTTGGCACCAAGAACCAGGCCTACCCTGTGGGTGAGAGCTCCTGGCTCCTGGACCAAGACGCCAGTGAGAAGAGAGGTGAGGACCCTGCAGGCAGCCCTGTCTGTCAGCCCTGGTGGCCCAGGGAGCAGGCCATCACCCTGCCCTGTCACCAGGTCCCACGCACAGCACTCTGGTGAGTGCAAGCTCTGTCCTTCGTATTCATGAACCTTTTTTACTGTGGTGAAATCACCCATAGAATCAAGTGTGCCTTTCTAACCAGTCTTCATGCAAAGCTCAGTGACAACTAGTGTGTTCACACGGATATGTGACCGTCATCACCATCCATCTCCAGACTTTCTCACTGTCCCTGTGGGAAACTCTGTAGCTATGAACTGCCACCTGTCCCCTGGCTCTGGGTGCTACCTGCTCCTGCCTGTCGCTGGAGTTACCTCTCTATGGACCCCAGAAGTGGAAGCATCCAGGACTGGACCTTTTCTCCCTAGCGTCTCTCACTGAATGGAATGTGTTCTTCATTAGCTGTAGATTGGGACTGAAAGGATGTTCACCCCGCCTGTGTCTCCGTCCGCTGTCCCACACCCCAGTGGTGACATTGATTGTCTACATATGCAGACACTTTGCATCGTGTGCGCTTTGTATAAACCTGTGTCATATATCCTCTCCTTAATTTGCACAGAAGTGGACCCATTTCTACACAGTCTTCTCCAGCTGATACTTTTATGTAGCAGATTTCTTGGAAATATGTATCCTCCACCCACCCCTTTGCCCCTCTCTCCCTCTAAAGTCTCTTCATATCTCCTTTGTTTCTCTCTCTCTCCCTCAGTCCACCTTTCCAGTCTCTCCCTCCCCTCCTTCCCTCTCCCTCTCCCTCTCCCTCTCC